AGCAAAGAAACCATAATATAGTTAAATTGAAAGGGAACTTGAAACTGTTTTATCTTTTCACATTGTCATATGTAAAAGGAAATTGAGCTTCAAAGGAATAATTGTTGCATGTCACATGATATGGTGGTGTTGCAAAATACTAGAGGCAAAGTTTTCTAACTCCAAACTAAGTTTTATTGTCTAGTCTATGAGATAATCTGAGCTGGCTATGAGCAAGGAGGGGAAAGTATTTTAGGGACTGGAGTGAATTTAGTTCATGGGTATTAACCAACAAAGCAGGAAGACCAGGCAATTTGATTGAAAGATTGATGATAGACAAGCCTGAAAAGGCAAGTTGGAATCAAATTGTAAGTGACTTCAATAGTAGAGTAGAGGTTGTAGATAGTGAAGAGCTGCTGAAAATTAGGAGACAACATAAAAGCAATATGTTAGGAATATCATCCTGTAGTTGCTACTGGGAAAGATGAAAAGAGTGAAGGGCCAGAAGCAGGGAAACATATGCGGAGGATCCAGGTTCATGGCCCATGTTATGGCTTGTGTTTAGCTGTCTCCTCAAAGCCTGATGCAGTTATAGGTGGGCTGTTTCAAAGGTGACTGGATCTAGAGTGTGTGATGCTGGGATTAAAGGTGTGTGATTATTAAATTAATCCCGATTGGTTTGACAACACCCTAATTCATTGTTGATTGATAAGAGGAGTAGGATTCTCTGAAGCAAGAAAGCTTTGGGATAGGAGGACAGTCTACAAAGAGAAACAGCCATTGCGTCTGGATTTATTGGGTCAGCAAGCAATATATAGTGATACCTAGGGGGTCATGATATGATTTGAGTTAAGATTTTTAACATTGAAGGATGTGAAACAGTCTTGATCTTTTGACCCATCACTGATTAACTTCCTCCTATCTTTTTATTTCCTCCCATTCCCTAACCCTTTGTAATTAAATTTAGGTCATCTCAGAATTTTTCCCTTATCACTGCACCAATGCAGGTATTAAAATACATGAAAACATAAATGGCAGAATAGTTATTCTACCTATAAAGAAAGAAGTCAAGGAAGTTAGAGAAAAAATAGTGTATATTTAGAAAAATACCTACATTAGCCATTTTGTTTATTGACAACAGTTCTCTGAGAATTGCTAGAATAATCATGAATATCTCCAAATTGCTGTAGATGGGAAATAAGTGAGCATATGAAGGTTGGATGTGGCTTGGAGATTAACAGTGAAAAATCTAAGAAGAAATCAAGGCTAATCAAAGTATTTTGGGGTGATTCTGATACAAGATTTATCAAGAGTCCTATGAAAAGTAATATGTTGTTTTTTATTTTTAAATTTGAAAATTAAGTGCAGTGTGTAGTCTGCCTTTTTGATGGCTTGGACTAAATGCCTGTCTCACAACTCAAAGGAAGAAGGTTTATTTTGGTTCAGAGGGTTCAGCTCATGTTTGGCTGGTTCCAAGGCAGAAATGGTATAGGCAAAGGGTTTGGTGGAACAAAGCTGTTCAACCCATGGTAACCAGAAAGTAGAAAGAAAGGAAGGTAGGTAGGGAGGACAACAATAGAACCTTCTAGGTCTTGAACCTGGTGGCCTACTACTTCTAAGCAGGCCCTAACTCCTAGCAACATATTCAACCATGAACTCTTCAATGGATCAATCCACTGATGAGTATAGCACCTCTGTGATCTTATCACTTTCCAAATGCCTCACACCTTGGGGAACATTTTAGATTTAAATCATAACAAATGAAAAAAATTTAAACACAGAAAAATAGCATCACGTAATGCATCCCCTATGTCTATCAAGTTGTAATATTTACCAAGATTGTGCCATATTTGCTTAGTCCATTTTTTTCTTTACTAAATATTTGAAAAAAATCAAATTCTCTCATTTCACTTTTATATACTTTAAGTTGTTTCTCTAAAAAGTATGAACTTTAAAAAAAACTCAATACAATTTTTGTGCCTATCAAAGTTAATAGCAGTTCCTTGATTATTATTTTAGTATTTGCAGATGTCTAATCCATATTACAATGTCCCTAGTTGCCTCAAAAATTTCTTTGCACTGTTGGCTGATTGATAAGTCAAAGTCTGCACAGTACACACGAATATTCTACTTCCACCCTCTTAAATGTAGAGAAGACCTCTTTCCTTCCTATTTTTTTGGTTTTTGTTTCCTATGTATATTGATTTTGTTGAAATTGAAACTGTCGTCATTTATCATGTCCCACATTCTTAATTTTTATTCATTTTAAAGTTATTTTTATACTGTTATGCAGTGCAGTCTTTTATATACTTTCAGTAGATTCTGCTCAGTAATCACCTTTGAGTCAGAGGATCTTATAGGTGCAAAAGAATTAGGGAGAGGTTTTCCAGGATAGCAGTAGCTTGTGGGAAAGAGAAAGGAAGTACAGAATTTGAAATGCTGGGCATAAGAAGACAAAAAGAAGCAGAGGTGGAGAGAGAAAAACTATAAAGTATCTTCTTAGCTACCTTATACCTACTAAAGGAAGTGAACCAAACTTGAGAAAATGGGGATGTAAGGGACAGGAATATTTCCTCTCTGTCTGGTCAAGTTTTGCTGAAATGAACCGAAAGTAGATTAATAGGAGAAAAGTCATACAAATTTGCTAATGTGCATAGAGGCTTCACAGGGAGTTGATTACTCAATAACCCAATGAGATTCAGGAATTTATATGTCCTTTTTCATACGGAAGAGGAAAATGGGGGAATGTAGGCAATTTTGCAGGGTGGTAAATGATTTTCAGAGAATTTCAGTGGGCCCAAGGAACAGACAGTAGTTTGTAAATGATTTACCAACTGTTGAATTCACTGATGAATATAAATAGCTTGTAATAAAGTTTGGCTAGCTGTGCTGACTTTCTTCATTTTTTCTTTCTATATTACAAATTTAATCTTGCTTGGTTAATGGAACCCCAGGAAGAGGATGAAGGTGATTTTGTGCCTTTTCTGATAGGTCAGGTCTGTAGGTAGAAAAAGAATTTTGGAGAAAAGCCCCTCTCTGTGCTTGGGGTTGAGGGGAAGGCAAGGGAAGGTTAGAGAAACCTGAATTTAAGACAGCTTCTAAGTCTTCCCAATTTCCTTTAATTCTAAATTCTCAGGTTACTAAACTTTCATACTTTCAGCTATCATTTTCTGAGCCTTAACAGAGCCATTGAATGTGGACTGTGAGGTAGTTATGGAAAGACATGTTTTACATTAAGAGGATGTTGGAAATCTGAATAGTAAAATGCATTAAATCCCCTAAAAAGTTTATTGTTACATTGACATTGTAGGTTCATTAGCCTAAACATGGACCTCCCACATTTTTCCTTGAGGGAAGTATGTATTATGGCTCTCATTGTAGAGTCATGTGGAATTCATCGGTACGTGGTTTAGTACAATACAGTTTTATAGTTTGTTGTTTTTATGGCGTTACATTATAAAGTAAAGCAGTTAAACTGAAAATGTCTTGCTCTTAGCCAGTTTCATTGCCGCGCTGCTTTTCACACGCTTCTGCTTTTTGTTGGCTGGCTCACTAATTCTTCCCAAGCCAAGTATTTTAAAGTGTTAAGTATAAGTACTGCCATAGCCAGGCTGCAGCTGACTTTGTTTTTACTAAAGTGTGAGATACCACTCAACAGCTGTCAACTTGTATGTATTCTTTTTATTTTTTTATTTTTTATTTTTGATACCGGGAATCAAACTCATGACCTCAGTCTTGCCAGGTAAGCACTTATGCTGCTGAGCTATATCCCCAGCCTATCTTTTTAAATGAAATAATTTTTAGGAATTGCAGATACACTAAAACATTGCCAATCCCCTTTGAAAATGTAATAATCAGTGCAATCTGTAGTGCAAACCTCCAATATATCAAGTATTCACTTCCATAAAAACCTGGTCAGAACATCATGACACTATGAGTGGATTTTAGTTGTTTATGTTGACTCTTGTCCCCTTTTCTACATTTCCTCACAAGTTGTCACTTTATGCATTTTTCCACATTTCTGCCATCTAAGACAGAATGTAAACTAAGGACATTTGTTTGTTCCGCTCAGACACCCCTAGCTGTGGTAGACTAGACATCACTTGATTACAGTGACAGTGAAGATGAGACATTTCACACTATGTTAAAAATGTCTGAATTTGAGAGACGTCAACAGAAAGCAGCAAACATGTTTGAGAATTTGGGGTATAAATAACTTATTTATTTCCAGTTTCAGTAGTACCATGAAGTAAAAGATTCAGAGTGGACCATTTGAGATCAACAAAATTCACATTTCTCTTCAACAGTCTGAAGGGTTTTAGAATGTGTAGTTAAGATGGGAGCCAGAAAGAAAATGTGAAATGCAAAGTTGAAAGGTTCAGAGGGAAACTTAGGGAATGTAATGTGAGTTGACATTCTATTAGGAAAGATAAAGAGTAGGATGCACTATGAAAAGACTGGATAGGAGCTGGGCCTGGGAGGCTGAGGCAGAAGGATCACAGATTTCAGGCCAGCCTGGGCCACATAATAAATTTTAGGTCAGCATGTTCAAAGCAAGGAGAAATATTCTATATGTGTGTTGCAGGCAAAGGGATTAATGACAACATGTTTTTTACTTGAAAAATTTTTTAAAAAAATTTAAACATTCACCATAGTTTTTAATCAAACCACATATATTCCAGGCTGACCCCAAACTTATTTATTTGGTTATACTCAGAGTGGCTTCAGATATATTAGTAAAGATTAGCAGGTCATTTGGACCAACCAATGGTATGTTCTAAAATAACAGGGGCAAAGAAAATCTCATAAGCTCACAAACCTGGGAGTATAATCTTCAGAGGAAAGGTTTCATCTCTGTTATCTGGACATTACTGTTGAAGTCCTTTATGGGAGGATCATTTATCTGAGACCTGCTCTGATGGAATAAGACAAAGATACTTCATTCTATCATAGCTAAAATAGACAGTACTTTTTAAGACTTAGTAAAATTTTGTTTATGTTGCTTATCCTTTGAATTTTAGCTGTTTGTACTGAAAAGAACTCAAACAGGGCTCTTTTTGGATGAAGATCATTATAAGCCCGATAACTCTGCAAGTAAGTAAGGAATTTGGCTGATAAAAATATGAAAGGGAGGTTTTCAGCTATAGCTAAAGAAAGGGCATTTGTTGTACTTGAACTAGTTATTTCTGTTTAGGTCACTATTTTTTTTTTTTTTTTAGTTTACTCATGCATCTTCCAGTACTCTAGATTTCTCTCAGTAGAGAGAAATACAGTAAGTCCCTCACAAGTGAGTTGCATTCTGGGAGAAGGTTCAGACAAAGTAAGTCTTATACACCTTTGACACAAACATACAATGTATATTGCTTTGTGCTTCCTAGCAGTCCCCTCCACCTCACCACTGTTTTTCTGCTTGCTTTTGGACATCCTAGGCTCTGATTGAGCACTGCATTACTGTACACTATCACACTGTGCAGTAAGCATATACCAGCACAACTGTGACAATGTCTGGCGGACACTGTATTTCTGAGATTTGTTTGCATCTTCAAATGTTCATAATGTGAAGTCTGTTCATACTTGTGAAAGTTCAAATGTTTGTAAATCGGGGGCTTACTGTAATGGTGTTTCATGTACATGACTTATTAAAGACTACACTGTGGAGGACTGAAGAAAGAAGAAAAATCAGAAATATCCATATCCACTGGTGAAGTAAAATGTCTTCTTGCAGGTCTTTGATAGTGAAAGGGAAGACTATTTTAGAGCCTCTGATTATTTTGACACATTTATAGTACTGTAATTTCATGGTATTGTTTTCTAATGAGGGCATAAATTATGATGAATTGCATTCTATAGGGAAGAAATTAATGAAAGTTATCTCAAAATGTAGTTAATACTGAAAACCTAATAAATTGAATCGTGTTAGCAGTCTTAAAACAGCTGTTCAATAATCCCCCCTGCTTTTTTTTTTTGGTACCAGGTATCAAACTCATGACCTCAGGCTTGCCAGGTAAGCACTTATGCCACTGAGCTAGATCCCCGGCCCCAATAATCCCCGTTTAAAAATACCATGGCTGACAGAAGAGTAAGTTGTCTGCCGAGTTAATTGGTTGGTTAAAGACAGATGCAGTACTGAAGTGTGTACCAGTCGATTCTCAGTTCAGTGTGCTTTTGGGGATTTCAAAAAACTGATGTTAGTTAATCTTTGTTCTATTAAAGCATAATCATATTTATTTTCTGTATCAGAATAATTTCCTTTATTTAGTAGTAAATTTGTCACTAATTAGTTACCAGTATATTAATTTATTTTTTAAGTTAGGTTTTCTTTTTCTGGGCCTTGTGTGCCTCTTGTAATTCCACCAGGAAGTAATTCTACTTTTTCCCATTTTATTCTCACATGGTCTCCAAAGGGCAGAGTTAATCAGACATATTTCAAGCTAATGAAAACTTTTAATTTACTTTAAAAATATTTAAAATATTTCAGATCTACAAGGCTTTTTGAGCCATAAATTTACTTTAATAATGTGTTGGTTTTTCTTAAAGATATTTGTAGACTTTTGTCCACTAATTGTATTCTTAGAAATTCTTAAGAAATTACACTCATACACACACACACACCACAGACATACATGATATCCTCTGCCTTTGTCTTTTTTCATATAGTTGTTTGTTTATTCTAGATCTTTTGTACTATTATATATATTTCAGAATTCGACTTGCCACTTTTACAAAGTAGTCTGCTAGGATTATTAGAAGGTCTTGAACTACACAATGATTTGGAAAGAAATGATATCTGAACAACAGCTAGTCTTTTAATATGGGAAAATCATATATCTTCTGTTTGCTTAGGTCTTTTAAATTTTTTCTTAGCAATGCTTTATAGTGTTGAGAATATAGGTATTGAACATTTTTGGTCATTTATCTTTAAGCTTTTCATATTTTTGATGCTACTATAAATGATAACTTTTAATGTCTGCGTATTTACTGCTAATATATAGAAATACAATTGTTTTTGCTTGGTTTTTGAAGTGCAGGAGATTGAATCCTTGGCCTTGAACATGCTAAACAAGTGCTCTACCAAACTATACCCCATCCTTAAAATTAGCTTTTTGTATTACCTTTATAGATTGCTATCTAATTAAACTTGCTTTTATTGTTAATAGCTACTTACAGATTCTTTAGGATTTTTACGTAAATGATCATGTCCTCTGTGCCTAAAGAGAGATTTTTCTTTTCCTTTCCAATCTGTTTGGTTTATTTGTTTCTCTTTCCTTATTATAATATTAGAACCTGTGATACAATGTTGAATAGAAATGGTGGGGGTGGACATCTGTGATCATTAATTTTTGTCAAATTGACTGGGTCATGGGGTGCCTAGATTAAATATTATTTCTGGATGCGTGTGTGGTTTTTTTGGATGAGATTAGCATTTGAATCAGTGAACTCAGTACAATAGATGTACTTAGAGTGATGCCTCCCCAATGTGGGTGGACATCATTCAATCTGTTAAAAGCTCAAATAAAACAAAAGGTAGAGGAAGAAGGAGTTCATCTCTTTTGTTCTGCTTCACTGCTTGAGCTAGGACATCTCATCTGATCTGCTTCTTGCGCTGGGGTGTATATCACATCAGCATTCTTGGTTCTCAGTCCTTCAGATTCAGACTGAGTTACACCAATGGCTTTTGTGTGTATCCAACTTGCAGACAGTAGATTGTGGGGCTTCTCACCTTCATAAACCCATGACCAAGTTTCTCACAAGTTTCTATATATACATACTCTGTTGTATCTGTTTCACTGAAGAACCCCAGTGCAACACCCTTGCTTTGTTTCCTATCTTAGTGGGGATAGATATCCAGCCTTTTAATTCACTATAGGATTTTCATATATGCTTCTTCTCAGGTTGAAGAAATTCACCTATTTTTTTTTAATGAGATATTACACAAATTGCAGAAATACTTGATAGGTTTGTATAATTATGAATAATTAAAATATATCTGAGTCATTTCTTTAATCTTTCTGTATATTATAATAAAATTTTCCCAAATAGTAATAGCCAAGTTAAGGTTCTTTTTGCTTTGTATAGAAAACTCAGCCCATATTGGCTGAAATAAAAAACAGCCTTCAGTGATCAACTATCTGCAGTGCTCTCAAAGTGACTTGGGTAATACCATTTGGGCCCCATTTCCCTCCTCCAGGCTCTCCCCTCTCCTCCTCATCTCTGGCACTGTTCTTAGACTGCTTCTTCTCTTGTGATGACTACTTCAATTTCAGATCTAACATATTCTCAACCTTAAGGCCACCATATGAGAGTGTCTACCTCTGGCCTTGAAGACTCAGCAGTCTTGCTGTAGCTCCTTGGCCTGAGTTGGGTCACTCACCAATCTGAAGTATATTGGCCCAGCCTGGAGAGTGTGACAGGTTAATTGGCCTACGACTGTGTCCAGTGTGTTACCAGAAGTTCAGGTGGAGCCACAGCCCACATATTCACATTGTCTGGTAGTGGCAGGGGTGTGGTGTGATCCCAAAGGGAAACAGGGAAGTAGTTACCAATAGAGAGAATGTGTTATGTGTAGTGATAATAACAATCCCTTGTACTGGCGCCCAGGCAGCGAGTTCTCC